AGCTGGTCAGTGTGATCTGTGTGCATCCGTTTGACAAAATGTATTTAAATGCAATATTTCGGTTATATTATTCAACTGTATGCCGGGGTAATTGTATGTTTAATTGTCAACATAGTTCGTGGATATAATTCTCCACGGACTTAGAGTACACCCGATATGTATTTGCGATACGTATAGGGTGCACCCTGTATAATGAATAAGTTCAACAACATGGTAGTGAACGCAGATAATACAACGCCTGTTGTAGGGGCAACAGTTGAAATGGCATTTTCTCGTTGCGTACAATCAAGATAAAAATATAAGTTTTCGAAAAGAAAATACATGTTCAAATAATAGTAGTGAATTCGAATGACGTGTATTCAATCGAAATTGTTTTTACGTTGCACAACATTTGGCGTGTAAAACACAATTTTTCCACTGCTAGCCGTTTAACCGCTTCATACATTTTGCATAGTTCATCATATTTCGATTTTACTTGATAACAATCAAAATCCAATACAAGTACAACGAAAACACCGTAAGACGTCCACATCCAAAAAGCAGAAATTTAGTTTAACAAAATAATCCAATTGGTTTGGTTTGGCAAGCGTTAAATCATTTTTAAGTAAGTTTTACTATGGAAACTCTGTAAGACGTTCACTTTACTTTATTCCTATACTGCTTTAGTAATGTTATTTTTACCATCATTTATAAACTGTTATTTATTGATTACATTTTATAACGAAACCCAATGTTTTTTTATGAAGTTATTCAAACTAATAAAAGCTATTTTATTTAAAATAAAATGAAAACTGGGTCCAACAAATTTGCTTTAAACCTATTTTTTCTTAGAAAAAATATTAATTATAACAATTTTTTTTAATTAGAGGGTAAATTAATTTGTGATCAAGTAAGTCTCAAAAATTATTGTTATAAGTCATGATGTGTTTTCTACATATTGTGTTTGCAGACTATTTTACATACAAGGCTAATTAGAATCCGTAATCATCGATAATTTTGTATTGTTTTATAGTCCTAAAGGATCATAGTTGTCAAATAAATAAATAATCCATTGGCAACTGTAACTGTAATGTGAATTCATTATATTTTTCAGGAAAAAATGAAACTTTATTGTGTTTTAATGTCATTAGTCCTTGTACATGTTTTGGCCGTAACAGAAAGTAAGTATCACGGTTTCTTAAATACCAAAGATTTATATTAGTGATGAGAATCTGAAAATGTGGATTTAAAAAATATTTATGTCAACTAAAAAAAACCCTAAAAATATTAAATACTATTACAGTACAAAACTGTGTACCTAGGTATAGTGTATTGATGAAAATTAATAAAAAAAAAAAAACGATGAACTTTGACTATTAATTATTGCTTTGAAATTTCAACATATCCGAAATTCAAAAGCAATTTATCTTTTTGGTGTTGCGTTTTATTTTTAAATTTACAAAAATTCTATAATGATTGTCTTTTAAAATAATTAACCTTTTTTTTTTAAGATGAATTTAAAGCACATGTATTCAAAACAAGTCAGTATATCCAATCATTATTTATCTTAAAAATATATTTATAAATGTCAAATACATTTTACCTTTTTTCACATATTATGTTTCATTTATTAATTACAGACTCTATGCTCGGCCATATAAGACCAGGTAAAATATTTAATGTAATTTTTATGTGCTTCCTTTGATTGAATCTTGACTTCACATTCATTAATGTAATTCAAATTCTACTGTTTAATGTTCTATTGTTTAATAAGTTTCAAAAGGTCCTACTTCTTATGAATCTAGAAGGGGTGGATTTTTGTAGTTTTTTGACTTCAAACACAATATAAGGTACATTGAAAATACCTTTTGTACATTAAAACTATGTTAATGTCTCGTTGTTGGGTTCCCTAAAAAAGTAATTTTATAACGTTAAAGAACTATCCGTTAAAACCTTCCCAACCTGCCTGTGCTGAATTGTTATTATCATATTTACGTAATTATATAAATATACTCAATTCATGTGTTTTTCTAGGTCATTTGGACGATTTTGTTAAAAATTGTATATGTTCAAATATTAAGATATGTAAGCATATTAATTATTATAATAAATTGTCATTTTATATCATATGAAATTCGAAAAAATCTATTGATCTGTATAGGATAAACTATTGGTTAATAAGGATTAAACTGTGTAATATTTTACAACTTGTACTAAGTAAATAGCTGCACAGGACATTATATGATGTTTTTGTTCTATATGACTTGACTTTATCGATTTCTGCCTAATTCATAATAATATCGAGTGAATAGCCAATCTCGTTTACCGATAAATTGTTATTGATTTCAGCGACGTTGGCTTTGATGTTGACCGCGCCAGGTAATGTGCCTTAGATAATAGATACTATTATTTTAAATTTATTTCTTAACACATATATGAGTGATATTTAATACTAATCAATCTGTTTGTTGATATTTCAGCATACGTATACAATAACGTGATCGAGGATTATCCGCAAGGTAATAGATTATCTGTATATTACAACCCTTTTTTATTATTTTTTTATATTGTCAAAAAGTCCTTAAACGTTTTTTGTCGTTTAAAAATGGTGAAGATCTCCCCACTCAATTTAAGCATAAAGTATTATTAATTTAAGTTAATATCGCGATTCCAACATAGAACGTAATAAGGTTTTATTTAGCCGGAATCACTGCTCTTCAATTATACGGATATAATAAACTTATAACATTGTTTGTGTTTTGAATTTCAGAAATGGTAACTTACGAGGAAACCATACAGAACAGTATAGAAAGACATGGTAAAATTGTGCACCAAATAAATTATGAAACCAACACACGTTAGATTGGCAATGTACCAGCTAGGTCCTATGCAATTGATTAAATCTCTATTAATATTACATAAATCTCAATAATTTAAACTTAAGCTGTAGGGTTCACTGGTAATCTATGTGTCTTTTAAGAAAAAAAAAAATAATCGGGATACTCAGTCACCCATACCCCTTCCCACAATTCGATCACCGACCGTTAAGGTTTACATTTTAATGATATGTTATTTATTTAAGTTACAGTAAAACTAAAACTTGATATCCCAATATTAAGGAATCTAAGTGTCTCCTTTGCTGTTATATTTTCGATCATACTTCTAACGCTATACTTTTTCATCGTACAAATTATAATTTAAGTCCTATGTCTTACCTTTATATGTTAGTATGAAAACTCTATAATTTCCAACAAAAAAAATTGAGATACTCTGTCGCTCATGCTCCTCCCCCTAATTCAAGCACTGGTCGTAAATAGTTTAATTTTAATGATATGTTATTTATTTAAGTTACAGCAAAGCTAAATCTTGATGTCCCAATATTAAGTAATATACATACATTATTAAAACAGTTATAAAATCACTTGTGTTTTGCTCGGTTTCGGATGCGAAGGGAAGTGCAAAAAATCATAATTAATTTGAGAAAAAATTTACATTGGAACTTAAGTCTTCTCAGCTTCTCATCGAAAGTCGAACAGACAAAAATATAGAGCTGAACATTTCTTAACGTTTCATCATTATTTACATATCATGTTTGATAATTTCAGATTTCTATTACGTTACTTTGAAAAGTATGGGGGAAACCAGAAGAGATATAACTAAGGCATCTTTAAGACGTTTACTCATGGAAGTCGAAAGTATGTATAACCCACAGGGTAAAATATTATGAAGTAAGCAAAATGGCGAGTTGCAGTATGACAAAACCACATTTCTCTGGTACCGATTTTTAATTTCCTTCACAACTGAAACCATGTGATACAAAACATATGATATTGTATTTTATCCTATGAAATTTAAATTCATCTATTTATCTGTTAATAAGAAATACACTGTGTAGTGTTTAATGTCTTGTAAAAAGAAGATATATAATTTGTATTTAAAGTGGTTACACCGACGCCCCGCTTTTTTGCTGACTACATAAGAATATAATATGATGTTACAGTTTTATTTATTTTATTCTCTGTGATGTTGACCCATGGCAGCCTACTTTTACATTTTTGTAAGTAAAATTAATTTTTCAAGGTGATCCCGAGTATCCGAAATTTGAAGGAAAGCATACATGTTGTCTAATAGCGTTGTTCGTAACTGCAAACGACCCAACATCTAAAATAAAAGATTGCAGTGTCGTTGAATTCGACGGGCACAGTGATTGCCATCTCACTGACAGTTCACGCCATGTTTCCATGTATAGAAAATTTGCCGATGGATTTTGGAAAACAGATAAGCCTGAATATGGTCAAATTGACAAACTCATCTTACCTATATAATTGTAGGATTTGTATGTAGGATGTATTGTCATAAATCGCTATTCTGTTCTATTTTATTTTTAATACATTACAATATAATTTACATAGACATTTAACTATCATAACAATTTAGTTTATATGTCACTTCACTAATTGGTTTTCAATACTAACATAATTTACTTGATAATGTTTACTGTTTTAATTCTTAAATCATAATAAATATTATTTTCTCTAGCAAAATACAATGTTTTTTTTTATATATATATAATGCTCATTGTGCAAATTCCTTGAGTCCAGTTTGATTATCATATTTATCATTTTATCTCTATTTGTTGACATCCAATTGCTAACTGAAATAACTTATATTCTAAATTAATGACTAAAACAAAAAAAAATAATTGATAGACAATCTTTGGGACTAATAAATTTTACAAATACAATTTAATGCACGGTAAGAGAACACACTATTTGTTTTTAATGAAATATTGAGTGGATCATCCTGTATAACGCTCTAGACAACATTTGAAATCAGAAATCTCTTGTTGCGTACAATCAAAATAAAATAAGCTTACAAAAACAATTCGCGTTCAAACAATAGTAGTATATTCGAATGACGTATATTCAATAAAAAATATTTACATTTGCACAACATATGGTATTGGATAAAATATTTTTTTCTACTGCGAGCCGTTCAAACTTTTTGCAGTTTGCATAGTTCACCGTTACTTCGATTTTACTTGAAACTAACAAAATTCAATACAAGTACAACGAAAACACCGAAAGTCGTCCACATCTGATAAGTCGAAACTTAGTTTAACAACAGCAAGCGTCAAAACATTTTAAGTAAGTCATCGAATCTTTGTAAGTCATTCACTCAAACTAATAAAATCTATTTTATCTAAAACAAAATAAAAACTGGGTCATACAAATTCGCTTTAAACCTAACCTATTTTAAAGTATTTTTTTAAACAGTTAGTCTCGAAAATTATTATTAAAAGTCATGATGTGAGTTCTACATATTGTGTTTTTAGACTGTTTTACATACAAGTCTATTTGGGAACCATAATCATTGTAAATTTAGTATTGTTTATAGCCCTTGAGAATCATAGTTGTCAATTAAATAAATAATCTATTGACAACTGTAACTGTTATACGAATGTATTGTTTTTTTCAGGTAAAAATGAAACATTTTTGTGTATTGATAACATTAGTCCTTGTACATGTTTTGGCCATAACAGAAAGTAAGTATTACGGGTTTTTGAAGTACCTAAAGGTTAAATTAGTGAAGATAATCTGAAAATCCGGATTTAAAAAAATTTAGGCCAACTAAAAAACCTTATAAATATTCAATACTATTACAGTACAAAGCTGTGTACCTAGGTAAAATTAATTGATGAAAACTAATAAAAAAAAACGCTAAACTTTGACTATTAATTGCTTTCGGATTTTAACAAATCCGAAATTCAAAAGGAATTTATCTTTTTTGTGTTTAATTTTTACTTTGACTTAAAAATAATTTGGTTAGGTTCACAGCTTTATCTTATAATAATATTTAATACTTATAAGTTTTTAAGTGGCTTATATTGAGTTTTTTGCGAAAATTCGGATTTTCGGATTCTCATCACTAGTTTTAATACACCCTTCTCTCACAGCCCTTGTAAGACTTCCTTTGGGGAGAAGCAATGCGAAAGCTGTCCCTCCTCAGGTTAAGTATTATCCAAGGAAAAAAGAAAATCTCACAATCCATAACACATATCTACTATTATTACTATTACATTCATAAAATGTTTTATAGATTTACTTACTCTTAAATTATTAACTTTAAATAATTTTACAAATCCTATAATGATTGTCTATTAAAATATTTCAAATTTTTATTTTTGAAGATGAATTGAAACCACATGTGTACAAAACAAGTCAGTTTATCAAATAATTATTTATCTTTAAAATATAATTACAGTTGCTAAATACCTTTTACTTTTTTTCACATTTTATGTTTACTTTTTTAATTACAGACTGTATGCTCCAAAATATAGAACCAGGTAAAATATTAATTAAATTGAAAAATAATGTATTTTTACATTCTTTCTGACGACATCTTGAATTTATAATCATTAATGTAATGCAAATTCTACTATTTAATATTCTATTGTGTAATAAGTTTCAAAAGATCTTACTCCTTGAAAAATGATTTTATAATGTTGTAGAACTATAACCTTTCCAACCTGCCTGTGCTAAGTTTTTATTATTATATTTACATCATTAATATACACAATTCAGAAACGTGTGTTTTTCTAGGTCATCGGGACGATTTTGTCAAAACTTATATACGTTCAAATATTAAGATATGTAAGCATATTAATTATTATAATAAATTGTCATGTTGTCGTATAGTATCGTATGGAATTCGAATAATTAATCTATTGATCTGTATAGGATAAGTTATTGGTTAATAAGGATTAAACTGTGTAGCATTTTACAACTTGTACTAAGCACATAACTGCACAAGATATTATATGATGTTATTGCTCTATATGACTTGCCTTAATCGATTTCTGCCTAATTCATAATAATATCGAGTGAATAGCCAATCTCGTTTACCAAAAAATTGTTATTAATTTCAGCGACGTTGGCTTTGATGTTGACCGCGCCAGGTAATATGCCTTAGATAGTAGATATTATTATTTTTAATTTATTTCTTAACAGATATGACTGATATTTAATACTAATCAATCTGTTTGTTGATATTTCAGCATACGTATACAATAACGTGATCGAGCAATATCCGCAAGGCAATATATTTTGTGTATATTACAACCCTTTTTTATTATTTTTTTATATTGTCAAGAAGTCCTTATACGTTTTTTGTCGTTTAAAAATGGTGAAGATTTCCACATTCAATTGAAGCATAAAGTATTATTAATTTAAGTTAATATCCCGATTCAAAGTATTACATTTTGTGTGCCTTACAAATAATATTACCATGAATATATTATTGGGTTGGGAAATCAACGGGAAAATCTGTGCGTGCGTGCATCACGCTGAACTTTACCGAGCATATATTATATGAGATTAGAGATAATGAATTAGAGATAAGATAAAAGTGATAAAAAAAATAGAGACAATGGAATAGATATAAAATCTAAGAGATTATACATTGCAACCATGAAAACCCGACATCACTGTTCATACAAATATAATAAACTTATAACATTGTTTGTGTTTTGAATTTCAGAAATGGTAGCTTACGAGCAATTCATACAGAATAGGATAAAAAAATATGGTAAAAATGTGCACTAAATAAAATATGAAACCAACACAAGTGAAGTACCAGCTAGATCTTCTGAAATTATTTAGATATTCATTGATATTACATAAATCTTAAGAATTTAAACTTGGACAAGCTCTAGGGTTCGCTGGGAATCTAGGTGTCCTTTTGCCGGTATATTTTAGATCATACTTCTAACGCCATAGTTTTTCATCGTACAAATTATAATTCAAGTACTAAGTCTTACTTTTATATGTTAGTATGAAAATTCTATAACTTCCAACAAAAAAAAAAACGAGATCTCCGGCACCCATGCCCCTCCCCCTAATTCGAGCACTGATCGTAAATAGTTTAATTTTACTGATATGTTATTTATTTAAGTTACAGCAAAGCTAAATCTTGATGTCCCAATATTAAGTAATATACATACATTATTAAAACAGTTATAAAATCACTTGTGTTTTGCTCGGTTTCGGATGCGAAGGGAAGTGCAAAAAATCATAATTAATTTGAGAAAAAATTTACATTGGAAACAAAGTCTTCTCAGCTTCTCATCGAAAGTCGAACAGACAAAAAAATAAAGCTCAACATTTCTTAACGTTTTATTATTATTTACATCTTATCATGTTTTATAATTTCAGAATTCCATTACGTTACTTTGTCATTTATGGGGGCCACCAGAAGAGGTTTAATTGAGGCATCTTTAAGACGTTTACTCGTGGAAGTTGAAAGTACGTATAACCCACAGGGTAAAATATTATGAAGTAAACAAAATGGCAAGTTGCAGTATGACAAAACCACATTTCTGTGGTACCGATTTTTAATTTCCTTCACAACTGAAACCACGTAATACAAAACATATGATATTGTATTTTATCCTATGAAATTTAAATTCATCTATTTATCTGTTAATAAGGAATACACTGTGTAGTGTTTAATGTCTTGTAAAAAAAAGATATATTATTTGTATTTAAAGTGGTCAGACTGACGCCTCGCTTTCTTGCTGACTACATAAGAATGTACTATGATGTTACAGTTCTATTTATTTTATTCTCAGTGATGTTGACCCATGGCAGTCTACTTTTCATTTTTACATTTTTGTAAGTATAATTAATTTTTCAAGGTGGTCCCGATTATCCGAAATTTGAAGGAAAGCAGACATGTTGTCTAATAGCGTTGTTCGTAACTGCAAACGACCCAACATCTAGAATAAATGATTGCAGTGTCGGTGAATTCGACGGACACGGTGATTGTCATCTCACTGACATTTTAGGCCAAGTTTCCATGTATAGAAAATTTGCCGATGGATTTTGGAAAACAGAGAAGCCTGAGTATGGTCAAATTGCCAAACTTACCTAACCTACTATTACAATATAATTTATATAGACATGAATATTTTCATAAAAGTATAGTTTATATATCACTTACGATAATATTTACGGTTTTAACTCTTAAATCATAATAAATATTATTTTCTCTAGCAATGTTATTACAATGTTATTTTTTTATATTTAATGCTCATTGTGCAAATTCCTTGAGTCCAGTTTGGTTATCATACTTATATTTTTAACTCTATTTGTTGACATCTAAATGCTAACTGAAATAACATGTATTCCATAGTAATGACTAATACAAAAAAAATTGATAGATAATCTTTGGGACTAATAAATTTTCAAATACAATTTAATGCACGGTAAGAGAACACACTATTTGTTTTTTAATTAAACTGATAAATCATACCAAAATTAAATTTAGCCATCACAGCTATAAAATAATATTATGTGTTGCCAGCAGTGTTTAAAAAAATTATTAAAAATACTCAACATGGGTTATATTAAGGAGTCACACGTTTACATAGGAATTAATATGATAAAGCTACTTTCAAGAAAACTGTTTCGACCATTTAATAAAATATGGTTTTTACTGGACATTTTTTTAGGGAAGACAAATATTACTTCATTAAAAAAACCTAACCTGACCGATATTGTATACAACAAATGTGCTAACGATTGTGTTATTAAAATTTGTAGGGTGGTTCTCAATCTAAATACTACCCTCTCCAAAAAAAACCTTAAATTACGGTAAATCTTCCAAGCTCTTAGAACAACGAGCATTGAGTAAGTGTTCGAAACTAATTTGCTTAAACAAATTATGTATTCGATTTAAAAGTGTTCGAAAATGCGGAATAGGATTATTTAAATGTTGACAGTATTTTATAAAAAAAACTGTTATTTCAATGTTACAGTTAATTAGCATTAAAACAGTAAATTATGCTTGTTGTACTAAAATTTGGATAGTATATCCAAATTTTATTTTTCCAACTAATACCACCGTCGTTGGTAGTTGTTTTTCTCCGGTTTCAACTATCGATTTCTAAAATGTAATCAAACGCCAAACTCGGTGTATCGCCGGGCTCTTGAACGGAAACAATGGTAGAGAATATTTAATAGAATGAGCTGCCAAACGCACACCCTCGTACAAGTACACTTGCAGTCGTTGTCATTGGGAACAAGCCATTGCATTGTCCGACCAGACTTCAAGTAGACCATATTATATACCAATGAGTACAGTGCTACTCAGTATACCACTGATATTATTATTTTGTTCGAAAAGTAATTTTTTTCATTAGTAATTTTTTTACAAAAAAACTAAATATATGTTTTAATAATTTTGTCGATGAGAATAATCAACTAAGTTTAGGAAAAAAAAGTCACAGGCCGGAAAGACCATTTTCATTTAATGCTTCACTTATTAAATATTAATAACTCTTCACTTTAAGTTATTTCAATTCGGTTGTCGGTCAATCGACCATATTTTAATAATGTTTTTGGAAATACTTCAAAAAATAATAGTTGTACATCTAAAATTCGACTTATTACAATACTGCCTTTTGGTAATATTGTTGACTTGCATAGAATCTTTTTTTTTATAAGCCTATGTTAGTAAAAAGTTGCTCATTAAGAAATTAAAAACATTTTTATGTCATCGCATGTGTACGCTGATTGATAGAAATTTAAAAGACAGCTCGATTTGTCATAATGTTTACTTGGTTAATAATGACCTGATAATTTCATATTGGCAGTTAGCTTACTACACGATTTAAATAATAAACTGCTTTATACTAGTCATTTTTAACACTAGATCGGCGTTTTCCACGAGGAAGACAATAATATAATATTATTATCTTTTTAAAAACTATTCTTACCTGCATATATTCTGAGTATGATATCTCTATAAGATATTTAGACACTGTTATTAATATAACAATTTATACAATATTAATTTTGATATCAACTCAAGACAAACAAAACTATTTGTGATTATATATTTAATCCATCCTATTTATTTAGATGCAACAGAGATTGCATAAGTAATACATTGATTTCGTTTTTTTTTTACCCGGGAAGTAAATATATTAAGAAAACTGCTTTACACTGACTAACTTAACTATAAGGAATTAAAATTAAACGTGTTTTATGCGGTCGGGTTAGGTTTTCCAACCGATATAAAGTGTTGAAAGCTAAAACATTTCTATTTATAGTTGAAATATACTATGTAAAATTCTAACTCGCATAATATTGATCAGACGTTACCTTTGCTTTGTAAGTGTACTCGGATCCCTGCATGATACCTCCGGCTCTTTTGATGTAGTCCAAAGTATTCCTTAAAGATCCACCGGAACATCCGAGGTTCCCGTAAGCGATCGAGCAATCGATAATTTGTTGCGAACTAGTGGGAAAATAATAACATACTTTTCTTCAGTAAAGAAAAAAAAGCAACAACATTGGCTAGTAAAATCTACAGCAGCAAAGGCCACTGCCCGTTGCTCGTCGACCTCGAAAGCACATTGAATAGATTTTTCTATAAATCGGTTTTCCAGATATAAATTTTTAATAAAAAAAAAAAAAAATGTGCCAAGGTTTTTATTTTTGACATGGAATTGACACTTTCAAAATGATATTGAAGAAAAGCTAGTAAGCTTTCACTTACTAAGTGAAAGTATGAAAATTCACCTTTTTATTTATTTTTTTGTTATTGATTTTTCTTTTTCAATGTATACATAATCTGAAAGATTTCATCGAAAAATTAACCCCTTTGGAAAATCCTACCTTAACGTGTGCAGCTGTCCGGTGGCTTTGAAGAGTTGACCCTCTAACATACTGGCGATGCTGAAGGCATAGCAGGCCCCGCAATCCAATTGATTCCACCCGGGTGTGTTAAATCCTTTTTCCCTCCAGTCCACCTGCAAGTAGCGTTTTATATTTAAACATTAATGTGTCCAACAAAGACGACCGGCTCGCGTTTACCTCGTCTGGAACACGGGTGATATTGTGGTGTTGGTGGAGTTGCGCTATTTCTGTTGTCTTGGCGTGGATCCTGCTCAAGGAAAGTCTAGTGAATTTAGTGTTGTACAGTTTGGCAGACTGGAAAACCGAAAAACACAAAGTAATAAATTAGAGATACTAGATTGCAGGACGTATATTGAAGTATCTGCATGAAGTATGGATACCTACTCTTAACTTTTTTTATATTTGTTTATTCGACCAGTCAACGTTTTCAGGAAATTTTATCTTTAAAAGTTAATAAAATACATACGCATTACCATTTAAGTTGACAAAACTCCGGAAAATACTAACAAATGATAAAAATTCAAATATTGTATAATATAGCATAAACAAAAATGTTTTCAAAAAAAAAAAAAAAGAACTACAAATTATCAATTATTATCTAAAGGGAAAACTGGTATACGGCGCCAAAAGAATCTCTTGATACAGTTATTGGTGATCAGACAAGATCTGAGTGTTGTTAAACATTTCGAAAAAGTATAAAACCACTGTCGAATTTATGGCTCTGGAAAAACTTTGGAAAGTTTTTCTTTTTATTATTTGCACATTCGCATCAAGGCGCACTATGGGATTTTTTATTTTTCTATACTCCCAAAACTGCTGTCCGATGATATCATATATAATATAATATAATATATTAATATTCTTTTTCGATAAATATCTGGCACATTTTTTTGTCGCCTTCAAATCATTATCACTTCCACCGTTTTCTTTGGGACCTTTTTTTTTTTTTTTATAAGTATGTATAAAAAAAAGGAGTAAAATAATTGCCTTACACGTTGAAAAACTTTTGGCCTCGTCAGGCGGAAATAACTTTTCGAGTACACAACCTCCTAACGACCTCGTTTATTGTGTTGGAGATAAACTTTTGAAGTTTATATTTTCCTCGAACGTGTCGCGTGCGTTTGTTTTACTTCAGTTTGTTTTACTACCATCAGGTAAGAAGAACATCACACGGTTCATTAATATTATTGCAATGCGAAATAATAATAATATAATATGATTATAGGGTTCGGTGAAAAGCACACACGAACGTTGGAGTGTTTCCGGAAGCGTTAAAAGGAAAATAAAATAACTTCTTCATCTTTACTGACTTCGTGTATCAGTCTTGATGATAATAACATTATGAGAACATAAGTACCTATTGCAGAAATAAAAACGTTCAAAGCCAACGTAGGTAAATAAATCAATTTCCTAACCGTCGACACAAAAACGTGCCGAAAATTGCTCACAGCTTTTTTGAAATATCATATAAAATATTTTTTTTCAACGTTTTTAAAAGGGACATTTTTTTTTACAAAAGTTCCAATACCTTTTTTGTTTTAATAATCAATAACAACATTATATTCATGTAAAATGCATTAAAATATATTATGTTATAAAACATGACTGCCGCTCGTTTTTTTCTAGTCAATTCTTTTTAAATCTACTTTTTAATCGGTTTGATAACATGATTTTTAAATGTACCATTATAGTCCAAACCAAGTACTGTATACATTAATAATACAGACAACTTGAGCAAAGTTAGGTCAACTTTTTTTTATGTCTAGTAGGGTTTAGTTTTATTTTATCACAGTATATTATATACTATTGTTTTTTAGCACTTGTGTCTATTTTGTTCAAACTTAGTACAAAAATTAATAGTATGAGAATTTTATTTTAATTAAATAAAACAAAGGAATACATTAAACAGTTATTTAGATAAAATTCGAATTTATTTGAAAAAGACTTAGCAACAAATACTACTTGAAGAAACTTTTCTATTACTTCTTAAAACGTTGAAAAACGTATTTAAAAAATAAGTCAAATCTCAATAAATTTTAGGTTTTGAGAAAAATGATCTGTTGTTTATCTAGATAAATTTATTTTTAAAGGTAATTTTAGAGTTTTGCCAATAGCAGCAAGAATTAGATAATTGAGATGCATATTAGAACAAGGGCTTAATTTCAAATTTTAATGTTTTTCAGGAGACACATAAAACTACTTTTTTAGGTACATTTTTTTTATTGAAAACCTTATAATTTTGGCTTATTTATTATCTTTTCATGGGTTGATTTAACTTGAAATAAATTAATTTAAATTTAGCCTAAGACATTTTTTCCAAAATTTGAATTTGAACCCTTGTTCCAATAAGCGTTTTAATTTGGTAAGGTTTCGAAGGAAATATTTGTGCTATAATAACCCGCGGTATTGTTCACAGTAATGGTAAAACTGTTAAAAACAATTTTTGAATCTCTACAATAGTAGAAAAAGTCCAAGTCAATTTATTAAAACTTTTCAGTTGTGCTAAAAAAAAAACCTTATTTTCAAATTATTAAAAATTCGACTGTTAGCACTTTGTATTACTTTTTCATGAAAAGTTTTCTTTGAGTTTTCAATAATTTTTTTCGATAGGCACAACGAAAGCACAGACAGAAGTTGATTAAAATATATTCACATTTTCTTAAGGTTTTGTTTATATAAGTTTACTATTATCGCTTTTAAAATGAAGTTTTTAAAAGTGGACTCGTTTCGACATTTAATTATACAGCTAACGTTTCATTTGTAACTGTACAAACGGTTGTTTTACCATTTCTTAATTTATTACTTTAAAAAGCGGAGCAATTTTTTTCATATTTTTTATTTATAAAATTAAATCTAAATAAAGCCAATACAATAGGCTTAGGGCATGTGCTTTTAGTCTTATCATTGCCAAGTATTAGCTTCAAGCACAGAAACTATATCTAAAAAAGCAAAATAATGAAAAAGTCTCTACCCTAGTTGCTCAACTATTAAGAATGTATATATGAGTACTTATGCAAGCAAAATGAAAACTTTAAAGCATATTAATTGCCAAACACTGGCTTACCATGTCGGACAGGTGGTTCAGGTGCAAGGTGAAATTGTGCAGTCCGTCTTTGGCCTCTTCGTTGTGCTTGTTGATGTGATGGAAGTTCTCTTCCCACGCCAACCTGTGGTGGACTTCTCGCGCTTTCGAATACGTCTTGTTGTGTCGGTTCTGTATAAGGAGAAAAAAAAATTTAAAAAAAAAGTAAACAAAGCCGTTGTACGGCGACCATATCGTCCTACCTTGTAATCGTCCCAGTGCGGATCCAAATGAGGGGAGTGTTTGATCGGTTTCAAACAGAACACTTTGACCGCGTCCAGACACACCAACAGGATGACGATTCGCCTGTAAAAGGGGGGTTCGGTCAAGGGGCCAAATTCGGGATGGTTCAACGAAAAATTGAAGAAAAAAAATAATTTACCTGAGTTCGTTCCACATGTTGTTATTGGCCGTTCATCTGGACTCGGTTGGCGTTTGTTCGACCGCAAACATGTGCCACAACAATGTGTCACAAATAGTGTGTGCGGTGTAAGATTTGGTTTGCGAAACGGACATGGGCGATTGCTCAACGATAATCGAACTAGGTATTTATATTAATAATAATTATTATTATTGCCGGTATTGTGCAGAATCGACTAAATCGTCGGCCCGAGAAAATACACACACACACGGTCGGTCGCCGAAAGATGCTCGATGGCATTTTTCCTGTTACATTAAGGTCAACCCGTTCGGCGTATAACAATGAAAAATTAGAAGGAAAAAAAAATAACACAACAAAATTTCATTTACAAACACTCGATTGTAATCGAGTCGGATTGATAAAAAAAAAAATTAACAATATGGCAAGTCCTCGTTTGGACATACCAGTCTTGTAAAGAATATATTTTAATTTTTGTGTACTCAAATTATGAGCTCGAGAAATAGTTGAGAAATTATTTATTAAAAATTCTTCTTATTCGAATACTTGACCTTAATAATTGCATTTGCAGAAATCAACTTAGTCGAATACTTTGTACAGTTACTTTCTTTTTAGTGTTTTAATTTTGCAAAATCCACAGTTATTCAGATGACTCGAATAAAGTTTAATACTATTGTTTTTTCAATTAAAATTTAATGATAAAATCTTGATCGACAGAAAAAAATATTAGTTTAGGATTATAGATTAAGGCAGTTTATCGCAAGGTGTATACAAAAGAGGGAAGTTATAATATATGTTGTGCTGAGCGAATTTTGATTAACAAAAACGTTTGAACAATATTTTTTCATGATTTAAATGTTTTTTATTTATAAGTACTTTATTTTATTCGAATAACGCCCAATTCGGAATTAGTGTTACTATAGTTTTGGACTAATTCTATTTATTTGTTTTAATCGCTAAAACTAAGGTTGTACAATGTATTAACTCCTTAATATACTTTTCAAATTTTTACATTAGACGAAACGTTCCTTTTACATAATAATATTATAACAAGAACGGTCGAACAACGGCGTCGAGTATAGGCAACACAACAGGCATACATAATAGTTTCAGATGAATACTATTTTTTTTATACTTTCGCTTTGTAAATAAGCTAAATTGTTTTTTTTTTTTTGAGAACTAAAATTAAAAACAGAACTGATATTTGTCTATCAATTTTTTTCATTCCAAAACTGGTATTGATTATTAAGATCATGGCCTACTCATCAAAGTACTGTTCAATTTGTAATAACTGTTTTTAGAGAACATACCGTTTTTTAAGTAATAATTATTTTTACCGGCCAATAAAGACAGATGTCTTTAATCTAGCTAACTATAACGAGGACAATCACCTGCAAACACTTTTACACTCTTCACTTGAACACTTGACCATACAAATTCATTCATTTTTTTATAGTTTTTTTTTGTGGCTAATTTTGAGACTTTAAATTTAAAAATTGAACTAATGCACCACCATGCAATTGTTAAATATGAAAAACTAAGAAAATCCATTGCTAAACAATGGCCATTAACTAGGTACAAACATCCCACCAAATATGTACAATATATTACAAAATTATGTAGCTTCTTGTAGTAGTATTCTGTAGTAACTTTAAAGTTATTAGCATTGAAGTTTTTTTTTCTCAATAATAACTAGTAACGAAACGAGTAACTAATTATTGTCAACTAGAATCATTTTGAAATTTACACCTACTTTTAAAATATTATGAACGTATGATTGTTAGAATATTTTTCTTTCTATTTGACCCAATTTAAGTATATATCATATTTTGTTGAATGTCATTTTCTGTAAGTTTATAGTATTCTTAAGCAGTCACAAAAACGATTTAACTCATCCGTCCAACTGTCGAGAAGTTGGACAATTTAAAATAATGTGTTATAGTTCTCTTGTTTCGGAACTTTTAGGGTCACACCATAATAATTTTCGTTTTAGGTCTTTTATCAAAATAAAAAATAGTCTTTCCTCTTTTTATTACTATCGAAAATGCTTTCTACCCGAACAATTGTACTTGCCACGAAAAAGTTTTCCGTTTATCTGCTCTAAAAAACATCTTTTTATTGCAAATTTCACCCTTAGCCATTTTCCTTTCCCGCCAGGCCGTACTTTATTGTGTCTGCGTTCTTTCCACGTTCGAAAAACTACAATTCAATCGTTTCTTAGCGGTACAGTTAAAGTTTTTACAAATGGCAATTAATTTGTATTATTATTGTCGTTGTTGTTTCATCATAATATTTTGTTTTGTACATCACAATCATAATATATTGTCTAAGTATTTAATTTAAAATGTTAACATCATTAAAAAACTTGACAATATAATTAAGTTTCAGATACGCAAATACTTTTAAAACAATTATAACATATTATTTAAGTTGTATTAAAAATGGAGACTTTAAGAGTACAAAGCGGGACGTTAAAAAAAAAGAAACATACCCTAGGTTACCACACATACCAAGGTTACCACACATGACACGGTTACCATATTATGCATCAAAATAAAATAATAAAACTAAAAATAGCTTAAGAGACTTAACTCACAAATTATGGAATTTACCATTTTAAATTATGGATTTTACAAAAAATACTGGGTTTCCGTTTAAAAAATACATGTTTTTGACTTAAGTCAGCCATTTTGAATTTTAGACAATATATATATTTTTTTAACGTCCCCCTTTGTACTCTTAAAGTACAAAATTGATTATTTTTTTAAAGTGGGACTTCCTGTACAATTATTTAAAACTATTATACTTCATAACAACACTGTAAGGGAGTATGTTAAATTTGTACTCTTACTTGTTTAAAGTTATATTATGTCAGTGGCAAATCAAACACCAATAACACAAACGTTATAAACATATTTTCTTAGCATAATAAAACGTTTTATGGAATTATTATGAAAACATTGCTGTTGCATACTTGTTGGTACTTTATACTTGATATCCTGTCTGAATAAGGTTTTTTTTTTTAAATTCTCAAAATTAAAAAAATAGCGTAACCATACTTAGAAAATGTATTACTTTTGATGAGTAAGATGAAATATTTTCTATAAGAAAAAAACAGATTACAATTATTTTTGTAATAATTTCATTTTTAAAAATGCAAAGTGAATTGATTTATAATATTCAAATTGTATAAATTTCATATAAGTCAACAGTATTTAAAATTTTTTATATTAATTGTTGGTATTGGAACAAAACCACTTCCTTTTCTGTAAAGAATATTTCCAAAACGGTTCCCAGTAGTTAAAGAATATCGAGATGTTTCAGACTAGCAAATACTATCTCATAACTTAAATTAAGTTGTTGTAAGCAAAAAAAAAAACGCATTGTAAATATAAATGCACATCATTTATGCAGTTCGTTTATTCAGTTTTAAAAGTTATATTTTACGTAGATAATTAATGTACGCTCGTAATAATATAATATATCTTATATATATATATAATATAATAAGTCAATAAATTACAATATATTTATATATTTTTAAATATGTCTGGACAAGAGGAAAACCGTAATCATATCGTTAAGATACATCCGGTATATTTTAATCATATCGTTTAAACAAACAAAATGTAGCGTACAATACATAATGATAATAATTTTCGGTAAAACTAAATAATAATAATAATGGTTATAGTATTATTTCAAAACCACACTACGGTTTAGGAACTGAACACAACGGAATCATCTCATCAATCGGCTTGGGTTGTGCACATTGACGAATATAAAATTGTATTATTATATTATCATAGGCGTCAAGAGGGGTGGGGGAGAGGGTGGTTTTCCAAAATAAAAAACAGTTACTCACGATTAAACAGTAACAAAAAAAAAAAACATCTCAAGCGGTTTGTTTTAATATTATAAAAATAAATCGATAAAATTATTTTGATTAAATTTTTTTCTCTCGAAATAATAGAAAAAAACCCGTTAAAAAATATAATAAAAAAAAACCGCTCGCGGTTTCTCTTTGCGGGTAAATCTTTGAAGTTTAGAAGTAGGTAATGGTATAATATAATAATATGTTATTTACAGTGATAAATTTTTCTTTTGAATTTCGTGAGGACGTAAAATGGACAGTAACGCGCGCAAGGGGTAGGTGGTAAATAATTATTTCAACGGGGGTTGTAAATAATAATTATAATAATAACAGCTGCTGGTGTCCCGCGACAGGGAGTTAAATGGTCAAGTGCAAAGTTGTCTTGTTAACAGCTCTAGTTGGACTTGATGAATCTTATGTTGTACGGATCGTCGCACAGTTCGGGATACTTGTCCGTGTCCCGGATGTATTCCCCGTCGAACCCGTCGGCGTATCCCGACTTAAGGATTTCCTCCACCTCGGCCGGCGACCAGTCCTTGTTGGTGGGCAGACCCAACCGCAGCAGGTCGCGTTCCCGGTGCCAAGCCTTTCGCATCACGGCCGTCTTGGCGTGGTGCAACAGCCGCTGTTTCTCGTGCTCCAGAGTCGTGCCGTACCGCAGGTTCATCACCGTGTCGGAACAGTGTATCCTGACGTCCACCACCTGAACAAGAAACAGGAAATACACACTTATAACTTATAGCCCTTAAAGATGTTAAAATAAAAATAAAAATATATTCTTTCCCTCGAAGCAAAGATCTAGTGGGTTCGCTTATCAATTTTCTCTTTTAGTCATCCAGGAATTACCGTCTATCCCCATCCCACCTCATCCACAATTATTAATATCTTTTACCCTACCATTCCCTTATTTTTCTCTCTCATTTCCCTCCTATTCCTTCCTCTCCTCTGTGTGTTACAGAAGCGTTACACACATGTTCATGTCAAAACGGAACAGATTTTTGTAATTCTCAGAATTTATCCCATACACTTAACATGTAAATTTCCTCCACTACACGGAAAAACAGAATCATAGATATGTTTTTCAGCTTTGAAGTCTAGGGAGCCTTAGTCCCTCTCCCCCCTCCCGTCTACCTTCCTCTCACTACTCTTCTGCCCTTCCAGATAGGCCCAAAAACATATCCATGTTAATATTTTCAAAACATTTTAAAAGCGAGTTTTTTTATGTTACCGAAAGGTTTTATTAAATGGTAAAGTGACAATCGGTTACCTTTCCGGAGTTGTTTTCCAAATCTTTCTCGTGGAACGTGGTGTTCATTTGAGTTCCCAGCCTCTTGAGTTGTCCCTTGTCTTCGTTGGCGTGCCACACGTCTTTCTTGACAAAGTAATAGGCGTCTTGCTGGGCTCCGTGCATGACCAAGCTGAACGGCAGCAAGAAGGTGTCGTTGAAAACTGTAGTAAAGACGTCCTTGTAGATGGGGTTGGCGCTGGGCACGCTCTGCACGATCACCCGACCGTCGTCAGACCGGGACAAGAGGATGCCGTTGCCGAACAGTGGCGCAAAAGAAGCTCCGGGGTCGTCGCCTAGAGCTTTGTGGCCTCGGTCTTTGGGTTCCTCCAGGGCGTTTGTGTAGAAAGTCACCCACATGGGGTCGAACCACTTCGGTTTCTCCTTGAACGAGTTGATCATGGGCTCGGCGTGCGTTTCCGACTCGGGCAAGTAGGTGAGTTTCTTTTTGTTCAGCAACTTGTTCAGATGATTGAAATACACGGACGTCACGTCCAACGGAGTTGTGCTCAAGCTAGGCGACACGGACGGCAACAGCGACGGGAATGTGGATATGGACTGTGGCATTTGCGGCATTACCGAGTCCAAGTCGTATCCCACCAACGACAACCAGTGTTTCTCATCTGAATTGGGATTAGAGCAAAACACGACAGTTGTCAATGGTTTGATTATTCAGATCCATGATGGAAAATAGCGCATTTCTATGCATTTTCTACGGTGCTTACCTTTGAGGTACTTTCGAGTGGGAGCCACGTTTATCGGATCGTTGCCGTTGTAACGGTACAGGTGCAGTTGTTGCGGTTCAGTCGCTCTGGTCAACATGCCTTCCCATTGGGGCGACATCCATTGTCCGACAAGCGGGTCGTACACTTTACCTTTAGGCATGTGCACCAAAGACGTGACCTGTATCGCGCGAGGTATAGGATAATAATGTGTTAATATCATTGGGATTGTGCTTGCAGCGTTGTCGTGCGTCTTACCTGATCCAAAAGTCCACCGCAAAAATCGATCGGCAAGTACAAATACGGATTGGAATCGTATACAATGTGTCCGTACGGCGATCTCATTATCTCTCTGATGCCTTCGCCGTATTGGTTGAATATCATTACAGGAGTGCCGCAGTGGTCGGTGGCCACGTAGTACTTGTGTCTGAATACTTGGGCGTAGATCAAGAAGCCACGGTCGTCGTAAGTCAACGTCATCAGCTTTCCGTCGCGCGGACTATAGATTTGACTGACCTGTTGGTAGACCAAACCAAAAACAAAAGTTAGCCGTCAGGTTAAACCGATCAATCACTGTGGCCTGCTAGTGGTCGGCTCACCTCGTTTGGATTGTCTTGATTGGTGTAGAAGAACTGCGTGACGTTGCCGAAATTGTCTTTCCGCGTGCTCAACCGGTTCAGATGATCGTAGAAGTACCGGACGTCGAAACGACCGCGTTTGATGGCTCTCACCTGAAAACGGTTGGAAAATATTATGACAACGACAATGGGATTTTGCTCGAAAACGTGTCGTCGTCGCATCGTGCTTACCAACAGTCCTTTGGAATTGTAGTGGAACTTTTCTTCTCTGGCGTTCTGCACGACCAGACCGCGATTGTTGTATCTGTAAAGTCCTTCGCCGAATTTCTCTATGCGGTCCATGACGCTGTGCTCCATCGGGATCATGTTTCCTCTGCGAAAACGAACGCCGTAGGTTAATATCAATAGAGAAACAATAACGGCACGTTCCAATCGGTCGCAGTCTGTTACCTGTAGGTCATGGTCAACATGTTGCCGTTCTGGTCGTACTTGAAGCTCCACGGTTCCTGTGCTTCCACCGACAGTAGCTGACCGTCGGCGTCGTAGGTGTAGTTCTTGACGATTGTGTAAGTGTTGACGCCGACGTTGTGCGTGTAAGTGCGCGACTGGACGATGCGACTGTCCAAATCGTACACAAACTCTATGCGGAAAACTTCCATTTGATGTATGACGACCGACACGTAAGTCTCCTGGAAGTAATCGTTGGTCATGCGGTGGAACATGGCGGTGCCGTCGGTGGCCTTGGTGGAATTGACGTTGGACAGCACCTGAAAATATACAAAACAAATTGTATTAGAATATGGTCGAACATGGAATTTCAAAATAAAAAATTAGTTTTTTAGCATTAGCTTGACGTCGACTCACCTCGAATTGACCGAACACTTGTTTCTTTCCGGTGACCGGGTTGTATTGCACGCGGTACTCTTGCAAGCTTTGTCCGCCAATTCGGCCTTCGACCGTGATCACTCTGAAATTGCTGTCGTACTCGTACGTGATTTTGGCGTTGCTCAATCCGGTTTTGGGACCGTAATCGATCCTTTCCTCGATCAACAGCCCGTCGTTGTACTGGTAGTCCCAACGGTATTCAAAGTCCGTCTCGATGTTCAACACTTGACTGGGCAGCTGAGTGTTGGGCCAGTATTTCACTTTGGTTATGCCGTCGCCGTGAACCACCTGCCGTTCATAAAAAAAAACACAACAAGCGCTTTAGTTTAATAAAATTGTTTTCAGACACAGAGCATTGTTGGCCATGCAAGCATTCTTGGCACGAGGTAGTTAAATACCAATTTCTATTAGTAAAACAAGTCACCTGCGACAGCTGTCCGGAACTGCGGTAACGGTACAAGACCCGAGCGCCTTCGCCGGGGTAAACGGTTTGCAGCAGAGCGCCGGTGTAGCTGTAATGTTGCAAGTAAGGTCTAGTGGATCCCGGTGGTGTGTACGTGAACCGTATGAATCCCAGTGAAGTCTGAGACGAGAAAGTGTGCTTGGACCCCGAAGGCAAGACGATGTTTCTCAGACCACCAGATTCGTCGTACACGTACCCGAACTTGCGATTGGTAGGCAGCTCGATTTCGGACACCTTAAACGGAAACGGGTCAATTACAAATATTATAAGACCCTACTAATATTATAATTATCCGTTAAGTTTTGGTCAAAGTCGGTCACTTTTTTGATAATATCCGATTTGGGGCTCATTTTAAACGTTAGTAAAATTGTCATTATTTTAGTTTTCGCCTTTAACCTACCTTGTTCCAAGCGTTGTACGTGTACTTGGTGGAACCCTTGTGAGTCAAAAACTTTTCAACGCACAAACCGTGATGAGTGTATTTGTAATGTTCGTTCATAGCGCCCCAGCTCCAGGATTCCAAACGGTTGAACCTGAAACGATGCCCACAGTGATGTTAGTAAGAAAAAACGAAAACTTAATTGAAATTTTCAGCCGGCTCTCACCTGTCGTAGGTGATGTTCACGGGATACTTAGACGGACCGACTTTCCACGACAATGGCAAACCGCCGTGATTGTACGAAATGCTCAGCAACGACGTGGACGGTTTGTCGGTGCTGTAAATCGTTTCGATCCTGGTGAACTGATTGTAGTCGATCATCAACACCGAGCTGTTGTTCACCTGAAACCGTACGCAAGGTCGATCGTTGTAGTTGTTGGTAGACGGAAGGGGGAGAGTTTGGCCAAAAAAAAACCTGTACTACTCACGGTTAGTTTTCTCCTTATGATCGACTTTGAAGATCCGGCGTCGCCCACCAGCGAATAAGTCCATGTGACCGTGTTGGACAGGGCGCCTCTCGAAGACACTTGCTTGTTGAACACCGGCAGCATCTCTGCTTCGACGGGCAACGACAGCTCCAGTATCGGATGTTTGGACTCGGCAAAGCACTGGACCACCTCGCCGGATCTCGAACGGAACATGAACGAACCGTTTTTGAAATTGATCGCCTCGTTGATGGCAGAAGCGCCTGACGGCAAAAAAATGTCGACACGTTAACGGATGCCGAAAAAAAAACGAGCAGTGGACCTATGATCTCTACTCACTGTTTTTGACGATCAGCTTTTTGTAATCGTTGCCTTCCATTTTAATGGTTATCCGGTCCCGGTGTCCGTCCAAAGATATCATGCTGATGGGGTTGTGCAACGGGGTCAGCAAGTTCACTTCGAAACTGTCGTCTTCCATGGAAATGCGCGACGACAACTCAAACACTTCGCCGGTGGGTAGCACCACGTCGACCAGACGACCCAGTCGGTCGTAGTTGTAGATGTATAAGGAGCCACCCTGTATAAAAAAAAAAATTGCAACATGTAAACGTCATCGGCTAGTTTGGATTCATAACTCATTAGAATATGCTATCTATCAGAAGAGGATACAAGGAGAATTTCCAAATGAAAGTCCAAAAGAACCAAGTGAAAGATTAGTAAAGGACATTAAAGATAGAGTATGGAAAGTAAGTGGTTAGTAGAAGGTGTCACAGTTTTGTTACTTTCGCCAATTATTATTGTTGAGCTTTTGCCGAAGAAAAGACACCTGCTGGTTTAACTCTTCGAAATGACTACTCATTGGACCGGATGATCATAATGTTATAGTTCTTAATTAAAACTCCAATTACAAAAAGCAACGGGCACAATTAAAAAGCGACAGCGTTACAAAAAAGGTAAATTCGAAATAACTCAATTCTAAGTCATTAAGACTGATTAATTGGCAAGGGACTCTGTTGATACTCATTTCATTCGGCTGTCGCAATTACTGTTATTATGCAAACAAGTATTGCAATCAAAGGACTCACTAAACCGAAATAGCGAATTCGAATAACATTTTGAAAGTTTTCAGAGTACAGTTTTCGCGTTTAATTATTTACCAACAAGGGATTTTATACCCGGTCTATTCGATTAACCGCTATAGTGGTTATTTAAAACACAAACAAACCCTTGCGCTTAATGCCGTGACACATTAGTACAAGCTAACGTAGTCCTAATCAAACCAAATAATGATACAAATAAATGGCAAATAAAAATAAAAGGATTTCCATAAAAATTACTTCTATTCGTTCATTGTGTGTCAAGAATTATACTAAAGTTCTTATTTGGAATGTTGTAGATTGGTCGTTTGATTTCGGCATCTGGATAAAATATATTTAAAAACTCCTGAAAAACCTTACAGTTTAATTAATGCAAAATGTTGAATGACCGAAATTATTCACATTTTTAAAGAACAAAGTCAAACATAAATAATACCCAAATATGTTAAGATGATTTTGGACATGTCCAATAGCTAAATGCTAATTAAATAGTAAAATTTGCCCTCTACCGTCTCCTTTACTCCAATCGTAATCAACTACTATAATTTTCTTCATTGGAAGCTTTATTTTTTCTACTGGCTTTGTAGTTTAGTAGCTATCGAAAATAGTTTTGTATTCAATCAATTATTTTAAATAGGTTTTCAGTACTCATTTTTGTTGGACTTACACATTGTTTGATTTACTTTTTTTAATTATCAGCTGTTCTAATTTGTACCTTAAATTTTGAAATCTTTTATTTTTATTGTTGAGCTTTAATATTTTACAATAATCAAACAAATAATTTAACATAATCGACTGTTAAGTTTATTCTTCTCGACTGTTTACACTTTGTTTTACAATAAAATCCGTTGAAAAGTATTGCCTAATTTCGGAATAAATTAACCGTCGACTGGTGTGCTCTGATGACACTTAAAATATGCAAGTCAAATAGTTCATTAGTAATCATTAGTGCTGCGAATAGTTAAACGTTCGGTAAATACGATAAAACTTTTGAACTTAAAAGCTAAACTCATTTGAATTCTATTAGCCCCACTTGGAGGTTTTGGACTTATTTTAAAACGTAGTACTCTGAAAAGCAATTAATAACTCAACACATTCGTCGCATTCTACATTGAATGGTTTCATGAAAGAAAATGGAAGTAGATGAGATGGATGAGCCAAAGTGGTACGCCGATAAGAAAGAAAATAAGAGAAGACTGATTAAGATGGTTTTGGCAATTGATGGATGTTTTGAATAGAAGCGTAGAGATGATATGATTTGTGAAGAGAGTGGATTTATCTGGCCGATCCCGTTTGAATGGGATAAGACGAAGAAGAGTGAATTAAACTTTAGGGCGAATGCCACTCACTTCAGCTGTGGAATCGGACCGGCTGGTCAGTAGACCGGTGGTGCTGTCGTAGTTCAATGTGATTTCCGAACGACCTTTTTCCGAGAACTTGACCAGATTGCCTGCGCCGGATATGACTAGCTCGGACTTATAGTCCTGCGAGTTTTCAATGGCGCTCACCTGGAGGGGAAAAAATGTCCAAAAAAGTCAGTAAGAAGGTACGTTTGATCAAGCATTGCAGCAAAATCTTTCATTAATTACCACGTTGCTGTAGTCTCGCAAAAATAGCATCTTGTTGCCCGAACCGTCGGTGACCGTCGACAGCTTGCCGAAACTGGTGTTTTTCGAATACAGGAACGTGTACCGCACTTTGCCGGACATCAGGTCCAACGTGGATATGTGCTGTCCGTACCGGTTGAAAACGTAAAGCTCTCCCGTGGCCGGATACGGTATCTGGAACTCGCCGTTCATGTCATGCGACGGCAAGTACGGTTTCAGTGCCAGGATGTGTAAGCTTCCCTAAAAAAAACCATCCGAGACGTTCACTTAAATCAAACGTAAATCACTAAGGTAAATAATGGATCATCATAATGAATATTTTGAAAATGTACACATTTTTGTGCAAATTGTTAGAAAATAGTGGAGCTCAATGTGGACAATCTATTGCAGGACTTATTTTTTAAGCATGTACGGTCCACTTACTTGATCGGCTATGTTTAGCACACCGTCTGGAGATGCTACGATGGCCGAAATCGTCGTGAACTTGGCAGTGATGGAGAGCAAGTGTTCCCGAGAGCCGTTAGCGCACTGGCAAGTGGTGTTTGAACTGTCGCAGTCGCATTGTCTGTGAACAGCATATATTTTTTCAGTAATCCCACAACAAAAGTAAATAATTTGTTTAAAATTACTTTTGACGGTTATCGTTTTGCTGGTATCCCGCGAAATGTGATATGTAACCGGCCGAGTTGACCACTTTGATGGTGTTGACCTTCCTGGAATCACTCTGCGCTATGTATAAATCTCCGTAAGGGCTGAACGTTATGCCCACGATCGTGCCCAAAGCCATTTCGGTGGATTTTAGGGATTCGGTCATCACGTCTTGGCTGTCTGCTATCTTTGCCGAGTCTTTACCGTTTTTGTTGCCATTGTTTCCCGAGTAACAGTGCGACGGCGAGCCCGCAACTATTCTCACCCTGTTGTCTTTGGTTACTTTCAAAACCACCCGGTCGTCAGTTATATGTAGGCTCTCGTCAAGTGGATTCAACGCCAAGTTGGTGGGCCATTGCAGTTGTACCTGATGGACGCGATGATAATGAAATAAAAATGTAAATATTCGGAAATCGCGGAGTCGCTAGACTTACTTGTGAAGTGGGCAGTGATGCCTTGCATGGCATCGGTTGCCAGATATTGTTGTGCTTGTGGTGGCCGATTAACGTTTGAATTATGCCTTGTTTGTTCACCACTCTTATATTGGTACCGTCGGCTATGTAAAGATTTCCGTCAGATGAGATGGCGATGCCTAAATGGAAACACATAATCAATCAGTTTTAAGATATAACCTATGAAATTCGACGTCTAACGTATACCCGAAATACATGAAAATTTCAAGACGTACCTTTAGGATTGGACAGTTTTGCATTAATTGCCGGTCCTCCATCGCCACAACTGCCTTGGTCTCCTGGTATGCATCGTTCTCCGGATCCAACGTACACCTCATAGTTAATTGTTGGATCTACTACCGAATTGGTGGTAGTCACGCGAAGGATCTGATGTTTTTCTGGATCGGAAACGTACAAATGACCGTCGGTTGGCGATGAGCACAGATAGTATTGGTAAGACACTTGGGTGGCGCTAAAACAACGACAAAACGCAAATATAGTGATAAATTAATATATTACAATATGAGACATATAAACCACGGTTACCTGAGTTGTAACACTGTAAAAACGTTGCCTTCGGGTGTGAGTTTTCTGATGAGGTTAAAGTCACCTACGTATAGACTACCATCGGATCCGCTAGCTAAGGCGACGGGTGACAACAATCTGGTGTCTTTAGCAACACCATTGCAATCTTTACAGTTGAGCGGTCTTTGCAGGCCGGTGCCAGTGACCACATGCAGCGTGTGAGGATACTGGTGTTTAAAGTACAATATAGAACCGTCTCCTTTTTGTAGAATTCCTGAAATCCCAAACGGGGGTTTTTTTATGGTTCTAATAAACATTGTATGAACGGATTTTACCTTCGTGGAAATTGTAATGATGGTGTACGTCCAAGCTCCATCCTCCTATATCGGATATGTCCACGTCGAATCCTTGCAACACAGTCATCTGCACCTCCCACACTATTTGATTACAACTGTCGTACTCGTAGCCCACAGACACCTTAGCCCTGGCGATTCCATAGACCTGCGGATAAATTTTCGAACGGCGTTACACATCGGTTAGGAGACATAATTACATTTGCCATATAAGAGACTCGCCTTTTGCTTGTACACGTTCCGCTTGTCCCAAGTAAACGTATACTTCAAATTAGGATCGGCTTCTAATTTTTGTTTATAAATAGATCCTTCGATCTCGATTGTGACGTGCACGACCTTCAACTGTGGCGATACATCCGATTGGGTGAGATGAACTATCAAATAAGAGTAGTAACCCGTAGCCCAACTGCTTCTATACAACAAGTTCAAATTCGATCCGGGGATGCCGATGCTTTCTTGGAGTAACTGTTAAAACGTTCGGTGCCGGATTAAAAAATAAATAAACAAATAGTGATGCCTGGCCTGGCCCCTATAATATCTCACCTGAGTCTCTACAAATATTACATTCTTACTGGACATTCCTCCGACCTTTTCCGGTAGCCAAGTGGACACGATCTGAGGATTCTCTTTGTGGTCGACGCAAGGGGTAACGTTGTACGCACTCTGCTCGTATACAGCTCCTGTGTGAAAAGCAAAACGGTTAAGAATAGAGCCCTAAGACAATATACCAAAAATCATTAGGTACCATTGTATTCCAACGTGGTCTCCTTGTACGGATCTAATTCCTCGTTTAAAGCCATCCGGAGGGCCGGTAAAGACACTATTTGATTCCATGGCACGTACAAAGTCTTGGTCTGCGGTTTGAACGGACTTCTCTGGAACTGAAGGGTGACGGCTTCTCCACCGTTTACCATGACGTCAAACCTTGCGAAAATAGCAATTATTAGGTTAAATAGATCAACGGTATGTGGGCTGGTGGGTGTTTACCATCCACCGTTCCGGGTCAGCGTGAATCCGAATCTCGAGTCTCGGTCGACCGACACACGGATGCCAATAATTCCTAATCCTTGTGGCGATAGCACTTGACCTCGTACCACGGAGACACGCCTACAGACAAAAATTAAACGTTACTTCAAAAATACCCAAGCGACGAAAATCTTCCGAACAGCAACTACTGATGGAATCAGTTTGGGTTTATTAGAACAAAATAATATATCAAACGCATTTTATCCGAGAATTAACCATTTTTAAATTACGTTTAATTTGTTTTTGAAATTAAACATTCAACGTGTGTTTAACCCGTGTCGCGTCGCGCCTTTTATTTTTATAAACAAACCACGAGTTCATCAATCAAGCGGCCGCCATTTGGGTTTTCCTCCGTCTCTAATATAATTACTCGCAAACTACACGGACATTGAGATAAACTACCTGAAATATATTATCCAATTTCGGCGAGTAAAACCGTGCACGGTCGTCCAATGCGATTACAAACGATTATTAATTTAACTGTAAAAGGTATTACACCGGCGCGACAGTGTCTGGTTCAATACTCGACGTGACAAGACTACCTACTGAGTTTTAATCAACGTAATGCGACTGTGAAACGCCTTCGTTAAACTCTGAGATAAAAATTTAACGGCCAACAATAAAATGTCTTACACCGATGTAATTCTACATAAGTAGACGACCGTCGGTCTAAACTTTCAGAATTTCATAGTGTAGAGTTACTATGTGCAACATGGAGAATCTCCTTTAAAATCATTTTCAATTCATAAAATGAACACCAATTTTAATCATCATTCGCAAATAAAAATGTTTTATCGCCTTAGCAAGTCTATAAAAATTCCACATGGAATATATGAAAAAGTTTATGAAGAGTTGTCACAATATGCATCCATTCAAATGCGATATGTAAAATTATACGAACAAAATATAGCGTTGGCTGTTAGGTGTAATAATCTAAAATATGAAGAAGTTTTTTTGGATTTTCTTTGTCACCATCGTCTTGGTTGTTTTTAGTTATTCCGATAAGCTTCTTATTTGGATAATAATTATGCTGCATTCCAAGCGTTAGTATTTTTCTAACCGTCTCACAAGTTAAGGCAAACGTTACTAGGAATTGTTCTTAAATAATGCGTTTGAAATGCAATAGTTTATTGTAGACTAATGTAATAAAGGTCAAACCGTCGCAATGATTGTTTCTTACCATGCATCAGTTTAGGTAGGGACAGTTTAAGTTTAACCCAAAAAACAAAATAACCGGTTAAAGGTAAGTTTTTTTATTCAATTTAACCCCTCGAAAACGATTAATCGGCTATTGCAAATCATTCATTCGAACTGTTCGTTAGCGAACCCCGACTCCTCCTTTAACGATGGTGTTATAAGAGTTCATCATCATTTTTTTCTCAACGCGGTTGTAACATTGAAAAATAGGTCAATTTCTTTATTTTCAAAACGTACCACAACAACAACATTGCCTGATTGATGTGCTTCACCGTACACACTGCTCGGAACTTGCGCGACTTACTTTAAAATAAAAGGCACGGCGTGACGTAACAGGTCGAACAATTCCGTCGGTTATTATATTAAATGAGAGAAAGTGAAAATAAAAACTATTATGAAAAATATTACATAATAATATATCGGGAGGCACAATGACGTCACAATAATAATTGCAAGCAACATTTACAGGCGTTGGGCCAGAAGTGTTTCCAATTCGGCTTTTGGCTTTTTTTCCCCTTATTTCGTTTTAAACAGTAATTCGATATAATATTTGATGAGAAAAAAATTATTATAATCGTTTGGTTTTTTTTCCGTTCCGCAAAAACAATAAGTCTTCCGAAACGGCTGTCGATTGTTTGCAATTAAAAAATGGTTATCGTGAACTCAAATGGATTTTGTTTTAATAAAAATTCTCTCGGGATTAATGCGATTATTTTCGGCATGCAATTAAAGCCAACTTAATTAATCCCGTTCGAGCGCTTAATTGATAACGTTGTCAAGCAAAGCAAATTTATGTACAAACACAGAAGCGCGTGCCAGTGTTTGTAATAATGTTAATTTTATCTATATATAAACCGACAAGCAATGTACATTGATCAAATTTTTTATTTGATTATGCTGCCATAATTTTTTCCCTGTAATTATTATTTTTTATTTCATGCACTACAATTGTTTTATTTTCGTGGTCAACGACAGATGTAAAAGCGATTTATGGACAGGATTTTGGTTATATGTATGGTCTAGGAAAAAAAACCGAGGAAAAAATAGATAAAAAAAAAAATCTGTCGCCATTTACATCTGTACGGTTTATTGTGGCCACACAAAAAAAAAATTGTTAAATTCAAAAACAATATGCTAATATCATTATATTACTATCCAGCAAATCCCCTCCCCCCATCCAATATTAAGTTGTTAAGATAGACATTGTTATTGCGAAACACGAGCATATTTAAATTTAATTCGAACGATTAGTATAGTAATTCTCGTTAAGATAAAAAAAAAAAAAATTGAAAAACCATTGAAGGTTTTGGCTGCCTCCTACAATCGGTGTTGGTGTTGATAGGTGTAAGGCAGCAGCATGGTAATTGAATATGACAACAACCGATGTGTGTGTGTGTGTGTGTGTGTCTACTGGAATAAAAAAGTTCAAGCATGGGCAAGTTTGATGGTGTGTGTGCATTTTGACTTGGTCGAATAGAAACTGATTGATTACCAAACGAGACACGAGTGAATGAAATAAAATGAATAATATTATTATTCGTTGAATCGTTTGAAATGTTTCTATGTTGGTAAAATTAATTCAAACTGTTTTTTAAATAGAAAAAAAACCAAATCGGGTCAAGTGTAAAGACGTTCCCACACAAGCCGTTGCCCACACTTGATGTAAAAATATGACTGGTAAATATCGTTATGGTGTGCGAGTATTGCGAATGAAATTTATGATATAAAATTAAAAAAAAAAAAAAAAATTCTATTCTTAACGGTAGTTTTTTTTGAAAATATCCGTCGGTCGAAACAAAAAAACTTTCTGAAAACGATTTTGTTCCATCATATTAAAACGACGCAAGTGCTAAACAAATATAATAAATATATATTTTTGCTTCTAATACCTATGCTAAATATACTACTGGACGACACATAGACAAATATGACACAAAACATAAAAAAAAAAAAAAACCAAAAATTGTAGATACCTGTATTTTGTAAATGTATTGCAATAGCGTCAGCTGATCTGTATATTTTATATAAATATAATAATTATAACAGCCGTTTCCAGCCGTTACAAAAATATTTTTGACTTTTGTTGGTCAAAAATATGATTTTATTTGGCATTCTAATGTATTGTAAAAGAATAATTAAAAAATCTTAAGTATAATCCTTGCAGGTGGAGTTGTGTTCTTATATATTTTTAGTATCGTCTGAAACGAAATTCAAACGTTCCCAATACCGGGCTGGACATATTTTACTTCAATTCAAATTCCCATGCTGTTACCTTTGTAATCGTTTTTCATCGTGATCCGGTTGGAGTGTAAAAAAAAATGATTAAATCCGATATGAGCTAAAAAGCTGCAGAGAGAGAGAAGGGTGGGGGTCGGGGGCGCTCGATAATAGTATATTAACGTTAGTCAACAAAACTCTACATATTCCAGCGTTGGAACAAAAAAAAAAATAGAAAATAATAATATAATATTATTATTTTTATAAATATATTATATTTTACTTTGGGGTTAAACAAATTCCGAAAACAACAAATAATAACATTTAAAAAACATCAAAATTAAAAAAAATTATGTATATATATTGTTGATAACATAATATGTGTATCGTTTGATATGATATAAATATAATAATAATAATATATTATTCGCATTGTTTATTTATTTAATTTTTTAATTTTATTTAAATTGTTTTTTTTTTTTACCATAATGAGAACATAAATGATGAGCAATTCTGACTATGTGCTGTCAGAAATAAACCAAATACAAGCTTTATGAAATATAATATATAATAATATATTAAAATTAAATAATAAAAACCAAAAACAAAAATTATTACAATTGATATTTTATAATATTGACTTACCCGGGTGTAAAGGAGTTCCAAAACTCACTATGGTACATAAATTCGTTCGTTTTCGGAGTGTACGAGTACGGACAATAGAAAAAAAAAAGAAAAAGAAAAAAAAAAGAGGAGGACAGTTACCAAATAATATAATAACACTATTATGTTTTTATGTAAAATATATATATATAAATATATATTTAATTATGTAAAAAACTTAACGTCTAACTGTTCAATCGAAAATAGACATCTTAAGCCCGGAGATTTTGTTTGTCGTCGACTGACTGGTAGAATAGAGAATAGGTTTGTGTCGGTTTCCACGACATTAAACACAGACCGCGCCTTTAAAATGATTTCAATGAAAAAATAAAAAAAAAAACCCATAATATTTTTATATCATTATATGAATAATGTATTTGTTTTTTTTTTTTTTTACCCTCAACGCGTTTTGAAAATATATCATGACATAATATTTACATAATGCCACATCCCGTTGAAAGACAGGTACAGGTTCCAAACCGTCTTCCACAATAAGTAATGCGCTTAATGTATACGATTATAATAACTATTTCGTGTACACCTAGAACAATATGGCGGAGTTCGTTTCTTGTTATCCGTTTTATTTACCTGATATTGTTATTCTTTATTCTTCTAGTCAGGATAACGAGAACAAAATTTCCGTTGCTCAGATATAATGTTATTCCATTTAAGATGTCTCGACGGTTATTGTCAACTAATATAACGCTACTCTATTCGGGGTCGACCCAGTTGGGAATTTTTTACAAAAAAAAAAAAAACGTTATTGTTATAGCTATTGTGTTGCGTGTTACAGATTTATTACTGTCTTGCCGTTTTCTCAAGAAAGCAGAAACGAATTGAGATCGGTATAAATTATTATTATCCGTTTGCATAGGTCACAGCTGTTAATGGATGTGTTCATCTGTATAATAATATGTTAGCCTAGCGCCAATATCACTTTTGAGCGAAGATCAAAACGAACTCCACCTGCATATCCCGCAATGTCCTATAATTTATTGTGAAATTGCCAATAAAAAAAATGGTAGGTACTCGTTGAGACTTTTGAGGTATCTAATATTTTTTTTTTGTTTATGTCTTGCCGAAAGCCAAGCTTTTTTTGGAATAAAAGTATTTCCATATATAATAATAATATAAAATATATAGAAGGGTACTACACAGGCAGCTACTTATATATTATTATAACAAAATATAAAGTAAGAAATGAACCGCAATAAAATAATTGTTTTCGAGACGTACACAATGGAACTTTGACATGTCTATGTAATAAAAGCGATAACACACACAACACAGTGTTTAAACAAATAATAATAATAGTAATAAAATAAAAAAACATGTGAATATCATTTTTTAACGGCAGTACAAAATGGGTTGAAAGGATAAAACAGTGGACTAACGACCGTCCCCACGGTTTCCAACAATGAAAACCTCACAAAGTGTGGAGATTAAAAAAAAACCCGGCTATTGTTATGTCATAAGCTTCTTGACTTTAATATTTTTAAGTGGAACGAAATTACTGAAATATACTACGAAGGAATCTGTTTGTTGAATCTTTAGATTTTCCAACCAAATTAATTTTCTATACATGTTGTATGATATAATATACGATTGTTCTAATGTGATTGTATACAAAAGGTGATTTTATGTGAAAAAATCAAAAACCTTGTCTTTACAGTATTTTATAGTGCTATAATATAGTATATACCCGTTTGGCCCCGTTAAGCCACACAAAATAATATCTTTGGCATTGATGTTGTACGAGTATGTCGATAATATTATTGTTTGTCTATTGTAGTGTGGGTGTGTGTGTGTGGTTGAAATGATGACGTTTAAATAGTATAAAATAAATGTATATTGAATAAATTATTGTGCCGGACACTAACCTTTCGCTGTATTCGTCCAGATGAGCATAGCTCTGAACGCTGTGCTCTTCGACCAAAAACTTTACTCGTTGGTAGAACGAGGCTGTCACCGAGGGCGGTTGTTTCCTGAGGAGAACGTCTACCGGATCGTTGGAGGCCAAACACATGATGTGCTCGGCGCAGGAAGGCGAGTCACAGCATTCGCTGTCCGAACAATCGGCCATGCCGTCTAAACACAGATAAAAGAAGAACCAGTAAGTAAGTACAAGACATTCCAAAAAAATTAATTGGATTTATGCACTGATACCTTCGTCGTTGTCGATTTCGTCGTGACAATCGGTCTCCAGTCGGATCGAACAACTCTCGCCGGCCCAGCCGTCCGCGCAAACACACCCGTACACGTTGTTGGTCAGCACGCAATTGCCATGGTTGCCACAACCTTTGCTACAACCCTCTGGAATAGGTCGGGGAAAAAATTACGTCAATGATGGTATTATAGATTTAGGGTTGAGCGTTTCGTGCACTTACGGAATGTACAGTGCTTGCCGTTATAGCCTCTGGTGCACACGCAAGTACCGTTTCTGCATTGACCGTGCTCGGAGCATCGGTCGTCACACGGCAGTTGGTCGCATTTGTCACCGGTCCAACCGGCGTCGCACTCGCATTTGCCCTGATCGCATTTGCCGTGTGGTCCACAGTTGAGATTGCACAGAGCTGTAAAGATGTACCGATGTATCAATATGATTGCCAAGATAGTTTCGGGGAAAACTTAAGGCACAGACCTTGGGAACAATCCGGACCCGTCCAGAATTTGTTGCACACGCAAGCGCCCGTCTCCAAATCGTAGGTACCGTGATCCGAGCAACGGGGAAGACACTGGAACACTTGTTTGTTCATCAGCGAACAGTCTTCACCCTGCCAACCGGCCTTGCAGTAACATTTGCCCGACATGCAAATACCGTGTCCCGAACAGCTCTTGTCCATGCAATCGGCTAAAAATACAGAAATATTTTCGGTTCGAAGCCATTTTAAAAATAGGAAAAATATATTATCACCTTGATTGCAGTCTTCTCCCTTCCATCCCTGGTGACACTGGCACACGCCGTTCTTGCACATTCCGTGACCGGAACAATCGGCCACTCTGCAGTCCGTTTCCGGTATATCGCACTCGGTGCCCTTCCATCCTTCTTCGCAGTGACAAAGTCCTCCGCCGTACTTGCCATGGTTGGAGCACAGCATTGGACAAACGCCTGAGTACAAAAAACGAAAAACCGATCAGCCCGGAAAACCAAAGAGCCGCTTCGATCCGGGATGACATTACTTTTGGAACAGTCGTTGCCTTGATATCCGTCGATACAGTCGCATTTGCCCAGGTAGCAAGATCCGTGGCCAGAACACTCGTTGGGACACGTGGTGGTCACGTCTTCGGCTTCGGCCAGTACCAGCACGACCGCGTGAGGTCTGAGGTCGTCGTTGTACACTGACATGAACCACCGGCCTGCGTCCAAGTACTGGACCGCGGTGACGTTAACGACCAACGATTCCTCATCGACGGGGTTGTCGGACGACCGGCGGTTGCGGTTGCGGTTCTCCAGACGTCCTCCCTTGATGAACTCCGAGAAATCGTGCTGAGTGATGGTCGGCGCCACGTTTCTACGGCCGTACATGGCGAAGTTCGCACCCCAAGGCAACGTCAGGTTGATTCTCATGAACACCGGCTGCTTGTTGTGAAACTCCAAGGTCCAAAAGTGGTAAGGGTGCACGACCGATCTGTACGGCGTGCTGAAGCTCTTGATCTCCAACTCGGACGGCCATTGAATTCGGGTGCGATGCCGATGCACCTCGCCCTGGTCCTCCGGCATCGCTTCGCCGTTGGATTTGGCGCGAACCGGTGCATTGGTCACGGTAGTGGTGCTCGCGGTTTGCACTGGAAAAAAAAAAGCGCGCCTCGTGTAAATTCAAAATGCACAAACGGTAAGTCGCACAAGCAGAGCTCTACCTTCCGTAGTGAATCCCAGTGGACTGTTCGAATCCAAAGCGATAACTCTTGCTTTTTCCATAAGTACGCATTTCTCTCTGATATCCGAACACGACTGTTTCATCGCTGAAAGCGAAAAAAAAAACATTGCACATACAAATTTCTACTGCTCTATTACGTTTACTTACCTATAAAGTATACCAACGCCGACGTAACGACGAGGGTGAGGATTACCAATAGTATAAAGCTTAGTTTCCACGAACATTTGAAATCGCACTTTTGCTGTATATCCTGTAGCCTGGTGGTTGAGTATGGCGAGTATTGCGAACTATGTGCCGCAGACCTCAGTGGAAACACTGGAACCGGTGGGTTACCACGGGAACTAGTGCCCATATCGCCAGGGAACATCATCGTGAACGCTTCAACAATCAACGCTGGAGTGTCTCATTTGAAAATCCTAAAACAGAAAAATTTATTGATACGGTTAAGCTACAAATTATTAGATGACTATTTTTAACAAATTTCAGCTCATGTTAAACACAATTAGGCAATGTGGTGTATTAATAATTGTTTGAAGTTCTCACCAAACCGAGTGGTTATAAAGTTTTCAATCAAAAAACAATTAATGAATTATGACGACGGTACAAAAAGTAATTTCGAAATAACCCAGTTCTATGTGTCGTTCGGTCTGTGATATGAGCAACGAGACAATGTTTTGATATTTGTTTCATTTGGCTGCCGCAATTATTATAATAACAGCTATATGCAAACGAACATTGCAATTAAAGAAATCACCAAACTGGAAATGACAATTCACCGAACCCTTTGAAAGTTTCGGAGGTATAATTTTCTCGTGTAATTATAAACCTACAAAGGACTCCATTCCCAGTGTATTCGATTTACCGCTGTAGTGATTATTTATAACACAAACAAACCCTTGCGCTTAACGCCGTAATTCATTAGTGCACGCTAGAACGGTTCTAATTAAAGGAAAAAGACATTTAAAAAAAAAATGCAAATACATTGAATAGCTCGAAGCTCGGTCGTTTTTAATTTTGATTTTTACATGAAAACCATCGATGAGAGTATTCAATTTTAAATATTAAACAAATACCATCTGTATTGTTAGCAGAATAAAAAATAAATTAAAAAAACCTAATTAGTTTATAATATAATTATTGTCTTTGAAATATACTCTTTGAGCTTTATTTCTTGAAATCTAACTCGTTCATAATATTTTATTAGGATTTTTAAGTTAATCTATTGGCATCGCAATAAGCATAACTTTCTCTTTAGTTCATATAAATAATTTATTACTGTTTAATCAAATGAGGAACGGGTTTCGTTAGAAACAAATTCCTCGAACGAGTCCTTTGTAAAAACGAAGCACATACTTCTTATGTATAAAGAGAGATGTTATTTTCGGATACTAAGCAAGAGGTCCGAAAGGAAAATGTAAGTAGTAAAAACAAAAGTTCTCAGAAAAATTTCTAGAGCACCGGCCAATCAGAAATTAGATAATAATTTTACATTGAGACGGTCAAAAAGATAAAAATTAGATTTGCGTTAACCTCTTATGTATACGATATAACAAAGGAAACGAAAAGTTTTGAACGAATCAACTTAAGCTACAAGTCTTTATAATTTATCTAACAATAAAAACTATTGAAAAATTTGCCCTATTTCGGAATAAATTAACCGTCGTTTTGCGTGTCCTTGATGACACCTAAAGCATTGGATGTTATCATCTGAGTCGCCAAAATTTAATACCACCGTCTTGGCTGAGAGAAGTTGAACCGTTTGTAAAAGTTTCCAAGACTTAAAAGCCAAACTCATTTAAACTCTATTCGACCGACTCGGAATTTTCGACTAATTTTAAGACGCGGCGTTCGGAAAAACCCATTTATAAATAACTTAACAAATTTGTCGCGTTCTACCATTAATAGTAGTTTTCAAAAGACAGTTAAGAAGTCGATTTAAACGGAGCACTTTCTAACTAAAAATCGGCTATTAAACTTAACCGCTAAAATCCTATTCCCGTTATAATGTTACTACGGTTTTTATACATAAATAAATAAATCAAAAACGTCATTATTAATTGATTTTTCGTCGATAATTGCATTTAATAATAAATTACTGAGCATATTTAAATTGGCAATGTTTTAGTTATTTATTTTGACAAGAGGTTTTAGAGTTTTTTTTTTTTTTATGAATATATTCGCCGAATGGAAAATATAATCGTGATTGTGTTTCGGATTATAAATAAATATGACCATTAAAAAAAAAATGAACAATTATTAGCTCCATTTTTGCAATAATGAAAATATACAGGAAACACACCAGCATTGTTCGGGCTGGGTAATCGATTTCGAAAAAAAAAAATGATCAAGTTGACATCAAAACCCTTTTTTTTTTATTACCATATCAGCACAGCATAATGCCATTCCGTACAGCAATTGGGTCTTCCGAGAACCGTCCTTTGAAAGCTTTCCATGTACTATTATCATCATTAATATTACAACAATAATACATATTTTATTGTTTATCAGTTATTGTCATTGCCGTGATCGTTAATTACATTTTGTTCCGATAATAATAATAATGTACTTCGATACTTGGAAGTAATTTCAAACAAAACCAATAAACGACACTCAACGCATATTACATGAAAACAAAATTAATAATGAAAAACAACGTCAAAGGCAGTAGGTATAGAAAAATATTAATTCGTTTTTCTGTCAAACGTGAAAATCAATATTTTCGTTAAGCTTGCTATAATTATAATCTACTAACACGAAGTTAATTAAAATTGAATCATACTTATTGGGCGACATTGTCAATCGAAAATATATTTAAAATTAAAATATGACAAATCTGTATACTTTCGGTTTCACGTTAAATTTAATATTCAAAAGAAACTATTTTTTTGTTTTTTGAAGTACAAAAGTCTAATCCGATTTTGATCTTATCAACTTCAAGTCGATTGATTTCTAATTTGAAAATACTTTTTTTGACTTGTGCCCAACCACCCAGTTAAGTCATCGGGTATAGAGATAATCCTGGGTACTATCCGAATCAGAGGACTTTCTGAGGCCATAGCCGTTTAGGCGTAATTTTAATACATATTTGTTGTACTTGCCGGTAAGTGTCAAGTGTAGCGCCAATTAATTTAATCATAATTATTTTGATTAGCTTACTTGGAAAAATTATATTTGGTGTAAGTATATTTTGTAGACTTGCCGATTTAGAAAATCAGAACAAGTCAAGAAAACCGTAAGCCATCATTGGATTTAAACTAAAAAATAAATTTCAATAGATCCGCCCAATTACTAAAAAATGAAGGTACCTAAGTGTAAATTTGAAAATTCTGTGATTTGATTGTGGGTTTTTCACGATTTGTCAAGAATGAGGTTATTATATTATGTTTGTTGCGTACTAAGCAATCAGAAACAATGCATATGATTTATCTAATATCTTAGAAATGTCTTAGAAACTGATCAAAGATAACGGCCTAGCAGTCTCGAATACATCAATAATATGGATAAGATGGATGAGTGGGTTGATTAGGGAAGATAGAATAAGAAATGAATACATAAGGGCTAGTCTAGGGGTTGCATCAATTGTGGAGAAAATGAGAGAGAATAGGCTAAGATGGTTCGGTCATGTTATGGGAAGAGATAAGGTAGAGGCAGTGAGAGGTGTTATAAAGATGATTGTAGAGGAAAAAAAGAGGAAGACTAAAGAAAAGGTGGATGGACGGAATAGAGAGTGATATGACGATAGCTGGAGTGTTTGAACGAGATGTAGAAGACCGAGCTCTATGGAAGTGTAGAACAAGGGAGGCCAACTCCATGTATTGTGGAGGGTGAGGCAAAGATAAAGAAGAAGAAGTCCCGAATATATCTGCTACACAACACTGAAGCTAAAGACAGTCCAAAGCAGAACACCTTGTTAATACTTCTTGAAAAATAAATCAGATCCTCGATAAGGTGAACAACATAACATTATATTACATATTATATAAATGTATTATTTTAGAAGTAATTTAACAGTAAATTATGATTCGTATATTTTTAAATTTAATTTTAAATTTTTTTCAAATTGACTGTTCTTGTAGTATTTCTCGTGGAATCTTGTCACACGCTTGCAATCCATTTATTAAATTCAATAAATTTACGGCGTTGGAAAATAATTTCAGCGATAACAATTCGTCGTTTACCATGATTTTAGCAAAAGAAAATGTCAATTTGCCCATCTCGTCTATGAGGTCATTTATCGTTTTTTGCCCTAACTCACTGGCCGTTTGATTCATAATATTATTCGTATACAATGTTTTCGCATTTAGCATACACCACGTGAAAAACTCATCGAATTCGTCTTTAGTGACTTCCAAAAAATCTCTGACTTCTTTGGTGCGATCAAAAGCTTTTACGTATCCATCGAATTCTTCTTGGATGTACTCGCTTTCATTAGTTTCCAGCCATCGTGAAAATCGTTCACATACATCATTAACACACGAATAAGCCGTACCGAATGGATCGGTTTGACATAGATCATTGATCACGTCGACTGGGCTAGGTGTATCATTTCGGCTAAGCGCATCGACCATCGTACCGTTTTCTAATGTCATGCGCAAACGTTCGCCAATCACACTGATCAAAGGACTGAGGCCTTTTCCTACCAAAATATCCAGGAAGACTTCGGTTGCAAATTTCTGTGCAACCGGATCGGACCGAAGTTTGTCCAATAAAGGATTACCCAGAGCGACTTGCTGTTCGATATAACAATTACATATTGTACGTGTAAACTTCCATTCGTCCGACTGACCAAAATCTGACGGAATCGATCTTCCTTGAAGCTTTTCTGGAAACAATTTATCCAACCTTTGCTTGGTTTTATTGTAATCCGCCGCTAACTGAATTGACCGTTCTCGTACCAGTTCCCGTGGAATCTTGTCACACGCTTGCATTTTGTTAATTAAATTCAATAAAATTACGCTGTTGGAAAATAATTTTACAAAAAACGATTCGTCGTTTACTATGGTATTAGCAAAAGAAAATGTCAATTTGCCCATCTCATCTACGAGGTCGCTTTTTGTTCTATGCGCTAACTCACTGGCTGCTTGATTCATAATATCCGTATACAATGTTTTCGCATTTTGCATACACCACGTAAAAAACTCATTGAATTCGTCTTTGGTGGTTTCCAAATAATCTTTGACTTCTTTGGTGCCGTCAAAAGCCTTTACGTATCCTTCGAATTCTTCTTGGCCATACTCGCTTTTGTTTGTTTCCAACCATTGTGGAAATCGTTCATATACATCCTTAACGTATGAATAAGCCGTACCGAATGGATCGGTTTGGCATAGATCATTGATCACGTCGACTAGGCTAGGTGTATCGTTTCGGATAAGCGCATCAACCATCCTACCGTTTCCTAATGCCATGCGCAAGCGTT